CCCTTCACTCAGCATTTGAATTGTTACCATCAGGATGCAGGTTTAGACTTCGTAAAGCACGAAGAAATGCTTATGAAAAGTCATTTATCCCAATGGCAGTTGTTGCTTTAAATCGGATCACTGTTTGAAGTGAATGTTGCCAATGATCTGCAGTAGTTTGTATGGGGCTAATTTGGTTTTTAAACTTTTAACTTATGTTGTTGTCTTGATGAGTGTTGTTATTGTGTGATTGTTGTATGCAATTGTTGTCTTAAATCCAGTGTTAAAGACAAATTTCCTTTCTGTGCCAAGCAGAACAGACAATAAAGTTTAAACTTAAACTCAAACTCAGTTTAACAAAGGGACTTTTATTGACATTTTAGTAGTTTGATAAAATATAATCAATAGGAAATAATAATATATAGAGGAAAAAGTCTGTAAAATAGGAGAAAATGTGCTGGCAGTTTATTATAAGGGTTTTTGCAGCATAGTATACAACACCAACCCAAACACTATAGCACTTAAACTATTACAAATGTTCATCAAAGTCACTTTTTTTAACCTTCTGAGGTTTAAAGTTGTTGGAAGGGAGATCAAGCTCCCATAGTGCAATTTAAAAGCATAAATAAATGGGGAAAAATAAAAACATGAATCACAAAATACAGAAAACTGCTCATTTACAGATATTTTTTACAGTTTAGTTCAGATAAGTTCATGAAGATTATTTATTATGCCATAAACTCACAATATTAATCATATTAATTGTAAGAGTGTGTGTTGGTGTAATCTGCAAGTCAGCTTCTGTTTTGTGCATCAATAATTCAAAACTAGTGCAAATGTTATATGAACACATTGACAAGCTTGGGAATAACGTTGGGATTCGGATGTGAAGCGTTGTGAATGGAGACTTTGAGGAGTCTGCTTTGTCTAGTAAATGCTTCGCTTTTGATTGCAAGAACGAGGCACTTCATTTTAATATGAATCGGCTCATTCAAAAAGAGAACTGAAAGGAGAAAAGGGGAATGTCTGCACTTTCCTTTCCTGAGTCTTTAGCAAGCGGGTGTCACATGATTAGCGCCACTTTAACAGGTCTTAAATGTAGTATTTTGAGGTAATTGTATTATAGAAGCTTGATCTCTGCTCTGTGGACTTTTGATGTTTAAAATTCAACAATTCAGTTTAACAAACTGGTTTTTAATGACATTCTAGTATAATGAAATAATATAATGTATAAGAAATCGTATAGAGAGAGAAATAACAAGTCTGTTTAAGACCAGAAAATGTACTGACAGTTTTATTACAAGATTTTGTAGCATAATATACAACACCAATCCAGACAATATAGCACTTTAAATGATTAAAAATGTTCATAAAAGTCACTTTGTCCAAGTATTCCAACAACAACAAAAAATCTTTGTATGCATGTATAATGTTCCAATATATGCCAAAATTGTTGCCACTAGTAAGACTTAAATGACACCGATCACTTGTGCCTTGTGTGTAAATATTAAGCTATATGGGAATTAAAAAATGTACAATTTTGTATGCTTTATTTCATATTGCATGGTCATTTAAATACATTATATCCTAAACATCATGTTCAAGCTAAGCATTTCAAAAATAGGGCTGCACAATATATCGAAATATCATTGTTATCGCGATAATTGTATATGCAATATCCATATCGCAGGGAAGTACAATAAATTTCATTCGTTTTTATGTGGCAAGCATTTGTGTACTACATAGGTTGTTGATCCAAATCTGACCAATCAGGAGAGGCCTTTAGTATATTTATCCCCACCTCAACGGTAGGTGCTATAAGCTGAACCGCCCTAATCAAAAATAAATATAATTTCATTTTTCTCGTTTGATGATACTGTATTACAACTTGGGAGTGTTTTTATCTCTTAACTTGAGTCTTAATTTGGCTATAACTTTCTCTGTGTTTCAGCAAATAGAATGGCTTTTATTAATAAATAAGATTTTGACACATATTTTGGGAAAATGCTTTGAGAGTTTTTAAAAATTTAAACAATACACTTAAAATTGACTACCCTTTCGTTATGTTCGAGGTTGTTTTTGCCCCATTGACTTTCATTAAAACGACTTTTTTATTGCAAAGCCATGATGGCAAATGACCATGTGTTCTTCATTGTTGCTGGTTTTCCTTGCTGGAAAGTACATTTTTACTATTGATCATCTGTTACGTCCCGCGACTGTTTTATTTTTGTTTCTATATTGCAGTTTTTCTGTTTCCTGATTTCTTTTGTTTACAAATTGATGCCACCTGAGTCTAATCTGCGCAGCTAATCAACTGAGCTATAAAGACGGGCTGCAACCGACCAGAAGGCAAGGGAGAGGGGAGATGACATGTCTCACTTGAGCTGTTCCAGTCCTAGTACCAGGGGCTTCTGGCTGCTAGTGGTTTCATGTTTATAATAGTGGTGGGCAAAGCGAGGCTTCATGAAACACTGAAACAGTCGAAGCAAATGTGTCGAAGCTTTGAAACGGTTCGAAACCCCACTCTACAGTGACATCTAGTGGTTAGTTTTTATGTATTGCACTGAAACAGCTGCAGCACATAACAGTTTAGCAAATTGAGGTATTAAAGCCCACTTTGTAACACTGGTCTTCAATTAATGCAGCGGAGCAGTTAAGGTGTCTGATTGCCGTCCAGGGATAGTAGGTTCGAATCCAGGCTAATACAGCCATTTTGAAATGCTTTAATACCAGTTGGTAATGCTTGCTCTTGAATCGTTTTGTTTCAACATTGGTCTGATATCCGAATAAACAATTTGTGAATAAATATGTCTTGTTTTGGTCTTAAAACAGGGTTGTTGCTAGATCAGAAACTGTGGCCTGAAGTTATCAAGAATTATTTATATTATTTATAAAGTTTCCCATTTATTGTATTTTATTAACGTCTACCCAAACCCTAAACTAAACTATCACAGTACTGTAAAAACATAAATTATTGTTTTACAGTGTTACAAAAATGATGCTAAATTGATGGCGTAACTGCAGCTGTATCATATTTTGGCTACACAAAACAAAAACATGATAAAAACACATTAAACTATGATTTCGAAGTATTTGTATAAGTATGTCGGGATTCGAACCCAAAAAGTCATTTGACGCATAATAACATGGTGCACATGCACAGTCCATTAGGCCATATGAAATAGAATTCGCCTGACCTTGGCAGCCAAATGAAGATTCGCCAGGTCTCGAAACGCTTCTAAGGTGATCAATGCTTTGAATCGCTTTAGTCAAGTGACCAAGTGTTTCGAAACACTTTAGTCACGTGACTTGGGTGCTTCGAATCATGCTTCTGTGCAGCGTTTCGAAACACTGGCGCTTCATGATCTCGACACTGTGTCGAAACGTCAGTTTCACGTCAGCCATCCCTAGTTTATAATGTGAAATAAGTTGCTGGTATGAGTAAGGTGTGGGGTGTGTTTTATTTTAAGACCTTTTTCTCCTGTTTTGGTGGGCAGGCAGGTAGAAAGGGAAGTAATATGTATTTTCTTCCTTTTGGAAATGTTTATTTTGTTAGGCAAGTTAGTTTGTCTTAAATTAGTTATTGGTTGTTTTGTTTGTTATTTTGGGACCCCCATATCCTGAGGTATTATTTTTGTTTTGTATTGTTTCTTTAAAATGTAAGAAATATTATTTCAATTGATCACACAATAAATCACCGGTTGCCTGAAGGTGATCAGAATATTAAGAAGGTCTTGACTTTTGATTCTGGGTCTGGAAGCGGTACTCTCCCCTCTTCCTGCATTTGTTCGTTCCTAGCTGTGTTTTGCCTCTAGATTTAAGTAGGAACGTAACACATCAGATACAGTACAAAAAAAAAGCAACCTTTTGAGAGACATTTGCGCACTTATCTTCATAAGTCAAATCAAAATAAGCAGCTAATTTTAAGCAGCTCTTTGACTATAGTACGTGTATGTACGCACACACACAGTATAATCTGCTGTTTTACACCATATAAAAGCCAGACACTTTTTTTTTGTTTTTGCGAAGGCCTATTTAAAAAGTTAATGCTGCCAACTGATGATTAACAGTAAAAATTACACATTTAACCTCTTCCCAACAGGAAAAACCAGCAACAATCAAGAATGCATGATTATATGCTGTCATGGCTCTGCAATTAAAAAAATGTCATTATAATGGAAGTCAATGGGGCAGAAACAGCCCCAAACATAACGAAAGGGGAGTCAATTTGAAGAGTTAAGTCACTTTGTGTAAATCTTTGCATGTTTATGTGCACCATCTGTCTTTTTTTGTGATTTCGCATTCAGTTTTAACCAACAGTAAAATTATAGACGTGCTTTTACGTTTTCAGTGTAATTAATGAATCTGCAACTGTGGCTCCGGAGAGTCTGACAAATGCTGTTTGTTCCCTCGATGTCTGCTTGAGCTCTCAGCCTTATTGAATGTTTTTACTCTAACTAAGTTTGAACAGGCTATATTTTCTCTCTAATTTGGTTTTACTGACTATATTTGGAGTATATAAATGTGTTTGCATGCACACTTAATGGATGTGTGGTTTTTTGCATCTTCCGTTGCGCAGCAATTTACCAGCATATTTAGGTATCCGTTTATGTCTAGTTCTGCAGGAATCACTAATGAGATCTTTAGAATATCAGTGTTTTTCCTAGACAGCAATGAGATTAAATAGAGAGCAAATGGAAAACTTCGCTTTAGTCACCTCGCTGGGGCGACCTCAGAAATAGACCCTAAGCCGAAGGAAAATGAATGAATAAAAACGTTTAACCGTTGACTTCCATAGTAGGAAAAACAAATACAATGGAAGTCAATGTTTTGCAGGTTTCCAGCTTTCATCAAAAAAATCTCAGCAGAAGAAAGAAACTCATAAAGGGTTGAAACAAGGTCAAGTAAATGATGACAGAATTGAAAATAATGGGTGAACAATTTTTTTTTTTTAGAGATTATAAATCGTGCATATGCTTATTCACAACTAAATCTGATGCGTAAACATTTCTGTTTTTCAGAATGTGACGCACACCTAAAAATGGACTCCCTGAATGTTTCGACCATGGCTTTGCCTTCCTGCACATACAAAGAAGACTTCAAGCGTTTCCTCCTGCCGTCCGTCTACAGCCTGGTCTTCATCTTCGGCCTTCCTCTCAACTTCATCATCATCCTGCGTGTCTGGGGCTCTCGCCGGGCTCTGACCAGGACCAAAATCTACATGCTCAATCTAGCGGTGGCCGACTTTCTGTACGTCTGCTCGCTCCCGCTCCTGATCTACAACTACGCCAGCAAAGACTACTGGCCGTTCGGCGACTTCACCTGCCGTCTAGTGCGCTTTCAATTCTACAGCAACCTGCACGGAAGCATCTTCTTCCTCACCTGCATCAGTTTCCAGCGCTACATGGGCATCTGCCATCCGCTTTCACTATGGCCCAAACAAGGCGGGCGCAGATTAGCATGGTGGGTTTGCGCTGGCGTTTGGGTGGCTGTTGCAATTCTTTGCGCTCCAACATTCGAGTTCGCCTCTACCGGCATCCAACGCAATCGAACAGTATGCTACGACCTAAGTGAACCATCCCGCTCAACGTCATACTTCCCATACGGCATCGCTTTGACCTTTCTAGGCTTCGTTGTGCCTTTTCTTGTAATTATCGTGCTTTATTGCAAGATGGCGCGCGTTCTTTGGCAGGTCGGCGAAGCTCGGGAGGTTTCCGCTGCGGAGAAGAAGAACAAAGCTGTTAGGATGATCATCATCGTGATGTTGGTGTTCGCCATTAGCTTTTTGCCGTTCCACGTGACTAAAACGCTGTATCTGCTGGTGAGGTCTCTGCCTACGGCGCCATGTGAGCTGAGAAACCTGCTGTCGGTGGTGTATAAAAGCACGCGTCCGTTCGCTAGCATGAACAGCGTACTGGATCCTATTCTGTTTTACTTCACGCAGCCGCAATACAGACGCAGTACCAAGAGCCTGCTGCTCAAAATCACCTCCTTGAAAGACAAGACGGTCAAAGTGTGAGGTCTAATATTGATGGCTTTTCTGAATGGCTGGAGTGTTTTCGTGATGCGATATCGGTCGGCCATATTGGAGGGCAGAACGTAAACAATGGACTCTTCACATTTCTGTGTTTTTCAGAATCGGAAGTGGTCATAGTTTGGTAAACTTAGAGCGCAGTGAATGGGCGAGTACATCAAATACATTATTTACAATCCTATTTGCTGAAATAATTTAAGAAAAGCTCCACATTAGTGTTATCAAGACTTTCAGAAAAAGGAAACCCTGCTGAAAAATCCAGCTTAAACCAGCCTAGGCTGGTTGGCTGTTTTTAGCTGGTCGACCAACCTGGTTTTAGAGGAGTTTTGGCCACTTCCAGGGTGGTTTCCAGCCATTTCCAGTCTGGTCTTAGCTGGTCAGGCTGGGAGATGATCAGCTAAAACCAGCTTGACCAGCCTAGCCAACCTGGGAGTCCAGCCAAAACCAGCTATATCCATCTTAAACCAGGCTGGTCAAGCTGGTTTTATCTGGATTTGGCTGGTCATTTTCCAGCCTGACCAGCTAAGACCAGGCTGGAAATGGCTGGAAACCAGCCTGAAAATGGCCAAAACCCCTTTAAAACCAGGCTGGTCCAGGCAATAAAATGACGATGTCATTGTCCATCGCGAAGTTTGTTACACATTACGATGCCAAATTGGTCGACATCGCCCAACCCTAGTCAGTAGTAGATTACCCTGCAATCCACACTATTGTTTACATCTGAGTAGGCCTACCTCTATATTGGCCATGCAGATGAAATCTTGATGTAATTGAAAACACAAGTCACTGTGATGTACAGTTTGTTGGCTATTTTACTTCTCACTCGCTATCCTTCAGCTTAGTTGCTGATTCGCCACAGTGTTATTAATCTCTAATTGCTTCTGCATCTTTCACAATAGTGGGAAGAAAATACACACATTTGAGTGTATTTCTGTGCATTTAAGAGGTGTTTCACATTGTCTTCAACAAAAAGCAGAGACGTTTTAGTATATTGGCAGTTCAGTCATAATATGTGTCCAATAGATTTGGGCAGCTAAATGCAAACTTTTGACAACATGATTTATAGTTCTCGTGTTTTAAAAAGAAATCACTGTCAAATGCAATTTTATGTATACACCTTTTAGTGACGCACGTGTATTAAGTGGTCAGTCTAGCAGGGGTGTCAAACATTCAGCTATGCACAGTTTAGTTCAGACCCTGCTTCATCACACTTACCTGTAGGTTTCAAACAAGCCTGAATGACTCAATTAGTTTGATCAGGTGTGTTAAATTAGTGTTAAAACTAAACGGCAGAGCTGCGGCCCTCCAGGAACTGAGTTTAAAACCTTTTCTCTATAGGTGTGTGCGAGTATGTAAAACAGACAAACGACTAACTGCTAGCTGCTAGCTAAATAATAGGTGAAATGTGACAAAACCCTGCTGAGAAATCCAGCTTAAACCAGCCTAGGCTGGTTGGCTGTTTTTAGTTGGTCGACCAGCCTAGTTTTAGACGGGTTTTGGCCATTTCCAGGCTGGTTTCCAGCCATTTCCAGCCTGGTCTTAGCTGGTCAGATAAACACCAGTCAATTAATAGATAAAAAAAAAATCCAGAATGACAACATTGCAATTTTAGTATGTCAAGGTTACATTCACACACTTTTATACTATGAATTATTTATTTAAGATGATTAGGAGAGTATGTAATTTGGGGTGCTTGTTGTGTGCAGGCGCGTAATGTTTTACATAGTAACATCGCCATCTTCTGGCTAGGATTGCATAATACTGTATTGCGTTGTAGAGGATTTATATTCAATTCAGTTCATCTTTATTTCTAATGCATGTGTTACTATGTAAATTATATATATATTGTATATATTATATTATATATATATATATATATATATATATATATATATATAATTATAATAATAATAATTATTATTATTATTATTATTAGACCACTAAACATAATAGTTTTAATATCTCTGCCATGATGACAGTAAATAATATTTGACTAGATATTTTTAAGACACTTCTATACAGCTTAAAATGACATTTAAAGGTTTAACTAGGTTAATTAGGTTAACTAGGCAGGTTAGGGTAATTAGGCAAGCTAATGTGTAATGATGTTTTTTTTCTGTGGACTATCGAGAATAAATGTAGCATAAAGGGGCTAATAATTTTCTCCCTAAAATGGTGTTTAAAAAATTTAAATTTGATTTTATTTTAGTCGAAATAAAAACAAATAAGGCTTTCTCCAGAAGAAAAAATATTATCAGACATACTGTAAAAATGCTCTTACTCTGTTAGACATCATTTGGGAAATATTTAAAAAACGAAGAAAAAAATGCAAAGGGGGCTATTAATTCTGACTTTAACTGTATATATACACAGTATACACGCATAATTGTGTTGCTTTGTGGGCACAGAACTGACTTAAGCACTACAAGGTAAACGGACAACCAATTTTTTGAGAAACTCTCTATAAACACCTTATTTTTAAGTCTACAAAATGAAACAAGAATTTTGAACATCACCTCATCCGAAACGTATTTAAACAAGGGCCTATTTCGTTAGATAATTCCCTATTTGCATATTCAAAAACAACATTTCAAACCTGTAATACAACATTTATCTGAATGCTCTGTGATTAATGAACTGAGAGAGGCCATTGATAGTGTTGTTTTTTTGTGTAATATACACTTAGTTGGTCGTATGGATGTCAGAACTTATAAAGCACAGGTGTCAAACTCAGTTCCTGGAGGGTCTTAGCTCTGCAGTTTAGTTCCAACCCTAATTAAACACACCTGATCAAACTAATTGAGTCCTTCAGGCTTGTTTGAAACCTACAGGTAAGTGTGTTGGAGCAGGGTTGGAACTAAACTGTGCAGGGCTTCGGCCCTCCAGGAATTGAGTTTGACAAACCTGTTATAAAGCATTTAGCGCCTGCACATTGTGATGGTTGTATGCTGTGGATGATTGATTTAGTGTTATTCATATATATTATGACTGGAATTGTCATTAGGGCTGCTCAGCATATCGCAAATTATCATTATTTCGATATTGCAGGCAGGTGATAAATTACATTTTGTTCATGCATTGGCTTTATCTAAATTTGACCAATCAGATGGGGTCGTACTAACTTAAATACCACCCCCCAGCAGTTGCGGTTTTGCTATTGGTGGGAGCGGCCTAAACTCGAACCCGGAGTTGAAAACAAACACTAATGGTGTGAGAGAAAAACTAACAAACAGAGTCAGAATATCTGCTGAGGTTTTCATTCACTCTGTGTTTTTAAAGCTAAATGTTTGCCTTGCCTAAGTTTTTTAGTGTAAATTAGTCACAATCTATCTAAAAATATGTTTACCTGTTTGCTTTAATATCATTATATAAATAAATAATTTAAAACAGAGCTAAGGTAAATGGTATATTGTCAGAAATATCATTTCCCAGTACTCAACAACAATATCATAAGTTTTTCTAGGATCGTGCAGCTCTAAATATCACTTTTTGGATTGTGCATTTGCTCTTAATTGGAGAATGACCCACCAAAACCGAAGAATGTGTCTAGTGCGTATGTGTACTACTCATTTATGAAGGGTTTGAACCCTGTGAATGGCAGCTGATTAAGTGCACTAGATTGGTTGATTTAGATCAGCTGATCTCTCCTTCTATAAAGGTTGTGCATTCTATTAACATTTTATGAGGGCAATAAGAAATGTAAGTGCTGGTATTATAATTATAGTGCTACCGCTTGCAGAAATGTTCTGCCTGTTGTGTTGTTTTGAAAATTAAGTTGCAGATTTTACATAAAAAAAGAATTTTTTATGTATGAATGCTTTAAATATAAGAAAAAAATATAATTTTTTGTGTTAGTTCTTATTTATTACAGAATAATTATTGCAATATTGTTTTGTTTGTATATTCTGGCATTTAATCAGATTTCTGTAATCAGAAAGATTTTTATCTTTAAGAAATGATCAAATATTCAGCATTAAATTGATTAAAATGTACAATTTTAAGGTATTTAAAATGCTACAGATGATGTTTTCATCACAGAATTTCCACAGAAATATAATATATGTAGCCGGATGACTTTTCAACACTGATGATAATAACTTCTGCTCAAAAACTCACCTTTGAAACATTAATAAATTACAGTTTCTAATATATGAGCAGTATCACACTTGTAGTGCGATATGGCTGTATATCAGCACTGATGGGTGGAGTGCATTGAAATGAGGCCACAGACTTAGTGCCTTCATGCACCAGTGACGATATACAGCCATATTGCACTGCTACAAGTGTGATACTGCGATTTATACAACAGTTCGGCACAATCGTGTATGTAAAAGAAAATCAAGGAGTCTAAAAATTCACTTGTATAAAGAACTACTTTCTTCCACCATTCATTCACATCTGCAGCTGACGTCACAACAGCAGAAAACGTTACTACTAAACCAATGTCACTTTAGAGATAATATTTGAATGATTCTCTATCGTAATATTTATCTAAAGTGAAGTCAAAACGGGTGATTTTGTTTACATTTTAAGATTATAAGGCTAAACGGCATGACATGCCATCAGTCTAGAGATTTCACATATTTCTCTGTTACAACTGGGAGATCACAATAATTAACCCAGAGAAACCCAAAGCAGAGCAAACACTGCCAGATTACTATGGTATAAATGCAGCACTAAATCATACACAAGAGAGAGATCGACTTGGAATGTGATTTACCTGATTTATAATGATTTAATCACCTGTACTTTGAAATACGAAAAGAAAACGCTGAGTTTTTCTCCCCTAAGGACTTATTATGCCGTCTCTGTCGCCCTCTTGTGGCTCCACCGCCTTTGCTCTGCTCAGTATGACAGGCTGGTGGCCGTCGATCTTATTATAAATTATAAATATTTAAAATAGGCACTATCCTTATAAATAAACTGCATAGTTGCAATCCAAACAACTACATTCTTGACTTAAAAGCTTCAAAAGTACATTATGTTGCCCAACAGCTACAATATTTGTCAAACTGTAGCGAGTCTATTGATCTGCTTTCACTCTATGTGGGCGGAGTAATACACAAGAGTGCTGTTCTTGCAGAATATCGCACAGCTATCAGCCAATCAGATTTGTGAACTGTTGTATAAAGTCACATAAATAACATTCTTTCAAACCCGCAATATTTACTCACAATTTTGCAGTTAATTGCTGTGTTGTTTTGTCAAACAAATGGAGCAGTTCTGTGCATTGAATCTGTTATGTGTGTGATTCTGAAAGAGAATAAGAGCTG